GGAGGTGCGCGAGCTGGAGGAGGCGTGCCGGCGCGGCCTGGAGAGCCGGCGCGAGGCCGAGGAGGAGAGCCGGCTGTGTGCGCGGGAGGCGGAGGCGCTGCGATGCCACGCGCTGGAGCTGCAGCAGCTGCGCGCTCGGCTGGAGCAAGAGCTGCTGCGGATGCAAGAGGCGTATGAGCTGCAGGCCGCGGAGCGGCAGGTCGGTGCGCGCGCTCAAGGCCCGCTGGGCCTTAGCCCCGTTCGCCCTGGCCCACCTGTTCATCACCTGGGTAGTGCCAGCCCCGAGTGTACTCCGATGGCCCGGGGACCAGGCCAGCATGGCCTCAGCGCCCCCGAAGATGAGCAGTTGGTTGGTCCATAACTCAGCGCATCAGGGCCGGTGGCAAGTCCTAGGAAGATAGTCCCGTCTCCCCTGTTGGCTAACTTCTTCCCACCCTGACTAGGCACATCCTGAGAAATGATCATCAGCTGCAAGTTGTCTTCCCATTTCCTGTGCCTGGTAGGCCTCGTGCGCATTCATAGCCACCCCAGAAAGCTCTCGGGCTACCCAGAGTGGCGGGCTATTCCTTGGCTGATAGGTGTTAGTGTTGGAAGGTAAGCCCTAACGAAGAGCCATTCCAAACGGCAACCACACGAGCGATAAAGGCTCCTTTGGGGAAAACGAAAATTGTTTTCCAAGACCGTTTTATTTGGTCTAAGTGATTCCCCAGCCGGAGGCAACTGGTTATGACAGTGCCTGCCTTGTTCGCTGATGGGTGGGGAGCTGTCATACCGATTCTCACAGTAGGTTAGGAGTCAGATCTTTGGGTGGTGAAGTATAAAAGCAGTGGGAAATGGGTGCTCATCATAGAATGTTATGACAAGTGTGGAATTATGTAAACAGTTACTATGTCAGCGCAGCAAATTCTCTGATCTAACAAACCTGCGCTGAGTTACTGTTTGTAGATCCATCCCAGTCCCAGGCCTTGTCCTGTCCAACCTCAGGCAGAAATCACAACATTGTAAAATCATGCCAACAGGAGTTCTGGGACACGCCAGCTTGGTATCCCCCAAACTTAAGAAATGTTGTAAGGAAAACAGTTTGAAGATACAGAGTTAGGATTGAGTGACTTTGTGCTTTCAAAAACAGTAGAAAGGCGTGTGTTGGTTGTCATGAGTGAGACTACTGGCCAGCAGTGGGTTGGGATTGTTTTTGGTTGTGGCAGTTGTGGCTTGGCTGAGAGGTGGCCACCAATAATCAATCTGCAGCTCTATCTTTTGATCCCCTAGCACTGTGCTTGGGTTTCAGTAGTTGGAGTCCAGGTGGGACATCCTGTCAAGTAACAGTGGCAGTAAATTGTTTACAGTGTCACCTTTATAAGGGTGGCTCTTGTTGGGTCTCTGTCTCATAATTTTGGGAGCCTTTCTGTCTGTGCTTTACCCGGGTGGGGCAAGGACAGGAATTGGCCCCAGTGTGACTTAGTCCCAGAGCCTATTGAAGACTTCACAGTGCCAGAGTTCCCTACTTCCTGTTGATTGGAAGTCTACTGCAGAATTTCGTGGAGCTTTTAACCAGTGGGGGTTGTAAGTGCCTGCCATACTTCCTGTTTGCTGAACCCATCTTTACATGACCAGTGTGGATTTGGGAAATGTGTTTTGAAGTTTGTTATTTGGACTAAATATGCACTGTTCACTTAGATCACAGGTCACTGAGCCCGTTTCAGATCTTTAAGTCCGCTGGACAAGTTCCTTTAAAAGTGCCTTCCTCAGAGTCACGCTGTGACCCAGGGTCTTACCTTCTGCTTCCTGGCCAGAGAAGCCACTCTCTAGTTAGCATTTGCTTTTTCCTCCTCAAAGCAAAGGACAAGGACAGTGCCTATTAGGACTTGGGGTTTGCTTTGTTTTTTATTTCTTTAAAAACTTTTTGTTGTGAATTGAGTGAAGGCTTACAGAGCAGTTCAGTTTTTCACTCTACAATTCATACACATTTTGTTTCCTGTCATTGACTGCAATCCCCACAATGTACCATCACTTAGCCCCCCACCCCACCCCGCCCCACCCTTGTCCCGTTTCCATGCCTCCTTTCCTAACCCTTCTGAACTTTGCCTGGGGAAGATGCTGCCGCTTTACTCTCCAGTGACTGGTTGTTCTAAGGAGAGCTACCTCCCTAGGTCTAGTACCCCTTACAGACCTCTCTATCGTTTGCTGAGCTTTGAGCCCTGAGGCTGAGGTCAGTTCTAGGCTGACGGGTGACTAAGGGCCATCATCTCAGGGCTCCGCCAGTCTCTGTCTAAGCAAATCTGGCCTCTGTTTTTGCTTCTGGTTTTGAGCTTTGTTCCACACTTTTCTCCTGCTCTGCGCAGGACCCTCTAATGTGATCCCTTTCAGAGGAGCGTGTAGTGGTAGCCAGGCACCATTTCATTCTTCTGGTCTCAGGGCCATGGAGGCTGCTGTCCCCAGGTTCCACTAGTACAATGGGCCAGTTGTCCCCACATATCTTTCAGGGGGTCATCACTTTTCTCCTTCGGGAAGGAAGACACCCATGGCTGTACCTTAGATGGCTGCCCACAGCTTTTATGATGCCAGTGGTATCCACCGAAGCAGAAGGGTGGACTACGTGTTGCCTTTGGGGACTGTGTTATGCCAGTAGACATTTGTGTCCCTCAAGACTACGGGCCCGACCCCACCCCCAAAGACTCATTCTCTCAAGGTTTTTGAATCTAAAAAGTTTTCCTAACTTTTCCCCTTGTGTGTGTCACCAGATTCATGGATGTATTTGCAGCAAAGGTAAATACACATGTAGAATTATCCTCTGTCAAACCTGTGTATGTTCATGGGGACGTCTGCCTTCTCCCCGCACCCATTCAGTCTGTGGCTCTCCATGCTGCGTACGACAGTATTTCCTTCTGCTCCCCTTGCCTCTTGGATTCCTCCTCTGTCTCTCCGTTCTGATTTGTGGGGCTGTTGGCACGGAATGTTCCCAGTTATTACTGTATCCATAGCCTCAGTATTTCCCCCACTTAGCTTAAGCAAGCCATATTTCAAATTGCTTCTCAAAAGATTTTACAGAAGCATTCGTTTTCTAAAGTTTGGTTATATGCAAGGAATTAGGTAAAAAAGCATGTGTTGATGACTGACCACAAAGCCCCTGTTTTTTCAAATTGTATGGACATTCACATTAAGGGACTGAAACTATCCTTGCATTTTATTTAACCAGTAACCAAAGCCAAACAACCACTGCCATCAAGTTCTCAACTCACTACCATGGGTCGATTCCGGCTCCTAGCACACCTGTACTACAGAGTAGAACTGCTTCTCTCGCTTTTCTGAGATGGTAAATCTTCATGGGAGCAGGTAGTCTCATCTTTCTCCCTCAGAGTGGCAAGTGGGTGTGAACTGCCACCCTCACAACTAAGAGTCCTTTTAAAGTGCTTTTTGTCAGGTACCCCAGGGGCAAGCCCTTTACTGCATATTCCCTCTCAGTCCTCATGCCGCTGGGCAGGAATATCGCCCCGTTTTCAGGTGATGAAGCCGAGGCACATAAGTTCCCATTCACAGAAGCTTGCATGGTTATCACTCCTCAGGGCGAGGCCGGCAGTGCTCCACTAGCCGAAATTGCAGTCAGATCCCTCCAGCTGGCTGATCTGGGACTGCTTGTAGGGCTCAGCCTTTACCAGGCCATTGCTCCTGTGTGTGGTGTCATGGAAACCCCCTGCTCTTGGAGGTGGGAATCAAGCTGGATCCAGAGGCAGGTGATCCCCCAGGGCCTGTGCCCACTGGTCTTAAGAAGGAGACAGACGCTCACTTGGCATGCCCTTCGCACTTGGCCTGTGGGCCTTCTCCTAGTCCATGAGATTCATGGATGTGCTTCAAGGCGATTTGCCAGAGGAGGGTTTGCTGTATGCACACCCACATTCTCAGCATTTTACCCGTGGCTTGGATCACTTGAAGCCCCAGGAGCACCACTGTCCCCCCCAGTCTTTAGACCATTTGTGATTTATACCAGAGGTACCCAATAAATGCCAGGATTTTTGCTTATGAAAGTGATCTCTTAACTGTGGAGGCCAGCTGTTTTTGAAAGCCTTCCCACTGCCTGGAACATGATTGAATGAGTATGTCTTGATGGGAGTGGGGGCGGGATTAAGCACTGCTCTGCCAGCCACCCCCAGCTGGGCCTGGATTCTGGCTCTGCCCCTCATTCCTCTGGGCTGTCCTGAGCCTCCGTGTTCCCGCTGCAAAAAAAGAAATAATAAAAGCGGCAGAAGGGCACATGCATTTAGTTGTTCATTTGTTTGATGGACATTTGTGCATAGAGTGTGCGCATAATGATCCCTTGGCTTAAAAGATCTTGAGGTGGGAATAGTGGGCTGTTTTTGGAGAATGGCCAGGCAGGGCAGCAAGGGAGAAAGTGGCTGCCATAGGATTGGGCCTAATTTTGACTCTGAGTAGAAGAAGGCTGTGATCTGACTGAAGAGAATCACTCTGGCTGCTCTGTAGACGATACTCTATGAGGTAAGCGGAGGGGGGGGGGGGATCAGGGAGCCCTTTACGATGATTGAATTCCTTCCCATTAGTAGTGCAGCCATTTAATGTGTTTGGCTGCTAACCAAAAGGTTGGAGGTTTGAGTCCATCAAAAGGTGCCCTGGGGAGAGGTCCAGAGATCTTCCGAGAGTCACCCACTGAAAGCCCTTTGGGGTACGGGTCTGCCTCAACATATGCGGTGGGCTCCTCTCAATTGCAGCTGAGTTATTTTAACTGCATCAGTCAAGGCAGTAAGGATGGAAACGTGTCTTGAATTTGAAGCCCATGAAGATTGTGGATGGATTGCTTGTGGTTGTTTGAGAAGGGAAATCCAGTTGGACCCCGGCTTGGGGAAAGAAGCTGCTCGCCACTGCAGTGCGGCTGGCTTGAGCAGGAGATAGGGAGTTCAGACCGCACATGCTCAGTGTAAGATGCCTCTTAGAACCACCCCCCCTCCCACCCCCCATCAATGAGTGTCAAGTATAATTATGATTCTGGAATTCTGAGGCGCCATCTGGGCTGAAGAATAAACATTTAGAATTCCATTAACGCTTCTTGTTTCTAAGATGGTTTTGTGTCCAAATGAGGTCATCCCACTCTTTAAGTTTTCTTTGAGAAATCACATTTAAGATGTAAGTGACTGGTAGTTCTTCCTATCGGGGATCTGTGACTTGCTCAGCAAGGAGTGACCCTGGCTTGGTTAAGAGAAAGTGAATTATCCGGGTCATAGGTTCCCAAGCTTATGTGACCTGTCACCCCCCTTTTCAGAAAAAAACAAAAACTTCTCAGTGTCCCCGGCCCATAGTCATTAAAACCGTTCTTGTGCTGTGGCCCATAATCCAGGGTAAAGTGTGGGAATCTGCTCTTGCAGCCTCCCTGGGTCATTCCCGCCCTCCCAGGGGATGGTGGTGCACTTTGGGAGCCGCTGCCCGGATGCTAATACCAGGGTGTTTTTCTGTCGCCCAAGCGGTGGTCATCCCTGGAGAAAACCCCTGCTCTCTAAATAGTAACTAAAAAAGGTGACCTCTCTCCCAGGCATTTACAACATTACGGCTATGACTTCTGCTTGGTAGAGATAAGCTGCCTTGGCTCCCAGCAGGCAAGCACACGCCAATGCAGCTCAGATCTGAAGCTCCATTTAGAAGGCCTTTCCAGCAGGGCCGGGTATGGTTTCTGTGGAGAGTTGGGAGCCAGTAAGTCTCCTGTCCCTGCTTCCAAAATGAACTGGCTTTGCTTGGCAGTTTAGGAGCACCGACTCCTGTGGACATGTGGTTGGACAGACTGACTCTGACTGAAGCACAGTTGGTTTTTCCGTCTCACATCGTGCAGGCTCCAGAGGAAAGCTTCGTGCCAACTTGGCGTGGCTGGGAAATCCAGAACTGCTCAGGAAGTTTGTGACTCTGGTGCTTGGGGAATTAGTCCAGTTTAATACCACTGGAACTTCTTTATAAAGAATAAATTGGGAAGAAAGGGAAAATGAGCAATTAATACCAAGGGCTCAGCAGAAAGAAAATGTTTTGAAAATGATGATGGCAACATATGTACAAATGAGTTTGATACAATTGATGTATGGATTGTTCTAAGAGCTGTAAGAGTCCCCAATAAAATGATTTATTAATTAAAAAAAGAAAACCAAAGATAAAGAAAGAAATCCTGAAAACAATGAAAGAGATGAAAAATGTCACATGCAAAAAAAATCATTTTCATACATGGTGAATAGATGTATTGCATTATTGCAGGATAGTGCACTACACTGGCACAATGTAGCACTCCTCTGCTACATGATGTTAAATAGAATCTGCTTAAGAATTTGATTACATTTAAAGTTATTAGGGGATAAAATTTTTCCAAGTCCAGAAAACAGATGTAAAACATTACCTGTATCTAGCAGATGGACATTGGGCCTCCACTCAAGTACTCCCTCAATACAAGAATACTTTGTTCTATTACACTGGCGTTCCATGATGCTCACCTTCCTGACATGATCGTGAAGACAAATGGGAACATAAGCAAATGTGGTGAAGAAAGCTGATGGTGCCCCGCTATCAAAAGATATAGCGTCTGGGGTCTTCAAGGCTTGAACGTAAACAAGTGGCCATCTAGCTCAGAAGCAACAAAGCCCATATGGAAGAAGCACACAGCCTGTGTGATCATGAGGTGTCGATGGGATCAGGTATCAGGCATCATCAGAACAAAAAATCATATCGTGAATGAGGGGGGAGTGTGGAGTGGGGACCCAAAGCCCATCTGTAGGCAACTGGACATCCCCTTACAGAAGGGTCTTGGGGAGGAGACGAGCCAGTCAGGGTGCAGTGTAGCGATGATGGAACATAGAACTTTCTAAATGCTTCCTCCCCCCACTATCATGATCCCAATTCTATCTTACAAACCTGGCTAGACCAGGGGATGTACACTGGTACAGATAGGAACTGGAAAACAGGGAATCCAGTTTGACAGATGATCCCTTCAGGACCAGTGGTGAGAGTGGCGATACTGGGAGGGTGGAGGGAGGGTGGGTTGGAAAGGGGGAACCGATTACAAGGATCTACATATAACCTCCCGGGGATGGACAACAGAAAAGTGAGTGAAGGGAGATGTCGGACGGTGTAAGATATGACAAAATAATACTTTATAAATTATCAAGGGTTCATGAGGGAGGGGGGAGCGGGGTGGGAGGGGGAAAATTAGCTGATGCCAGGGGCTTACATGGAGACCAAATGTTTTGAGAATGATGAGGGTAATGAATGTACAAATGTGCTTTATACAATTGATTTATGTATGAATTGTGATGAGTTGTATGAGCCCCCAATAAAATGATTTAAAAAAACAAACAAAAAACATTACCTGTATCAAATGCTAGGATTCTCAATAAAAGATACAAAAAACATTGGGGGGGGGGGAACTCTTAAGTTTTCATAGGTTGATCAGATTTCGTGTAGTATAAAGCAATGCATTTTATGGTATAATCTTGTCCCCGAATTTATATTCCCCACGAACTAGGGAAAAGATAGGTTATACACATGGAATCTTAGCTATAGGCTGTAAGACTACATGCTGGCCAGGCCATTTGGTCCCTTAAACCAGGACTTTACAAATGAGCCTCCTTGTGACCTCTTTATCTGCAGGGGATGCCGGAGTTGGTGTCGGGACTTAGAATGACCCCTGCGCTTTAAAAGCTGTTTCGGTGACTACTTTTTGTATGCATGTGTGTTTAGCTCACTTTCATTAAAAAAAAATAACAACCTAACAAGAATGATTCGGTCAAAAATAGACTGTGAAGGGGGGGATAATTTTTCTGAGCCATAAGTCCTGTGCCTGGTTTGGCACACTGCAGTCTTGGGCGCAGCACTACATATTCATCGTGGAATTTGAGCTTGTAGGTGCCTTGGTGGCAAAACTACAGGAGGAAGGAAGGCACTCCTTCCCAACTGTTTTACAGTTTTTGAATTCTTAAGTGTTTCAAAGGGCATCGTTGTAAATTGTATTCAGAAGCAATCAGAAGTTAAAGTATATGGACTGACTTGAGTGTTTAAATATTTGTTCTCTGCTCCTCAGAGTACTGATTAACAGGAAGACAATGCAGAAATGCTACAAACGAAGTCATTGTGGTTACTAATGAAGGCACATTGTCAGTTTAGAATGTCTACATTTCTAGGAGGGTAATGTTATGTTCAGTTTGATAAGAATAGAATTCTCCAAAGATGTTTGGTGACTCCTATGTGGGAGGCACCTTTCCAGAGTCTGGGTGCAGAAGCAGCGAGACTGTACCCTCCCGACCAGAGAGTGGGTAGGACGACGATGGTGAATTGACAGGTGTCGGAATGGAATGGAGGTAATGCCTGTGATGGGATATGAAACAAAATACACCCCCAGCCATTGCCCTGGAGTTGACTGCAGCTGACGGTGCCGTGGAAGACAGAGTGGCGCTGTCCCTCCCACAGGGCTTCCGAGGCTGAGATCTCGGGCGGGAGCAGACCCCAGTGGAATAGAGGGTTACACGAGCCAGCAGTTCAAATCCAACAGTTGTTCTCTGGGAGAAAGATGAGGATTTTTGCCCCTGTACAGATTTACAGGCTGGACAACTCAACAGGGTCACTGAGTTGGAATCAACTTGATGGCACCTTGTGTGGGCCTCTTCTCCGGAAGCACACTGACACACAGTTCTCCCACCCACCAGCCGAAGCAGCCAAGTGCTTAATCACTGCACCACTATGACTCCCACACAGAGTATATTCCTGTCTCATTACTGCAGGGAAGAGGTAGTCTTAAAGGAGCTCAGGAAGGGTGAGACAAAGAACTCGCTATCTGCTTACCTGCTTATTGCCAGGGTGGAATCATGAGCTCGGGAAGTTCTGTTTCAAATCCAAGTAACTTTTGTTTTCAGTATCGTCAAACCTTCACTTCAGTATTATTTCCAGGATTGATTCAGTTGACCCCTTTATTTTCTTGGCCTTCCTAAACAGACTACTGCCCTAACTGTAGAAATGACTTCAATAAACACTAAGCATTTGTCATTGTTTGTGTTTGAACAGAGAAGCCAGCAGCCTAACAAAATCTCCCCTGAGGAATGATGGGAGAGATACACATTCATGCCAATAGTGGCATGGAGGGTTTCACTCTTGACATCCTGAATTGTGGGTATCCCGAGTTGGACCCAGGGAAGCTCCCTTCTCAGCGCTGACACCCCTCTCTTCTCGTTAGGGAGTGATTGACGCCCTGGAGGATGAGAGGGCGGCCCTTGCTGTGGCCATAACTGAGCATCTGCGGGACTACCAGGAGCTCGTGCAGGCGAAGACGGGGCTCAGCTTGGAGGTGGCCACCTACCGGTAAGGATCGTGCCTGGGGGTGCTGGGGACCACTGCAGCCTTGTGGAGTCCCAGTGACTGTCACTGGCAGGAAGCGTCCCTTGGCATGGTCCAGGAAAGGGAGGCGGAAGGAGGGGCTCGTGGAGATCCCTGAGCAGGCATCCCCAGGTGATGGGAACCACGAAGCTTAGTGCAGTCTCCCCTGAGGAGTGTGGTACTCTGTTTCCAGGGGAGCAGACTTCCCTCAGAAGATACGGAGCTAGAAAGTGGAGGGGCTGGGAGTCCAACCTGTGAAGTCTGCTTGTCTCACGCGTCGTATCACACCCCAGGCTCTGGCTGGACCATGTCCATGCTGCTGTAGCTTTGAGAGCTACATCTCCGCCACAGAGTCATTCTCATGGTATTCCTGGGCAGCTGCTTCTGTGTATCCATGTTGATGTGAATTCAAGCGAGACATCCCAAATGAAAAGATTTACAGTCTCAAAGGGGCTAGGGGCTGGGTAGGACAGATCATGCCATCCGGCATCCTTGTGCGTCTCTGGGCCAGCAGAGTGAACTCCCTCTATGTGTGACCTCTTCCTTGCTCCTTGGGGTTGTGAGTGGTCGCTGGCCGAGGGGGTGTCTGGCTTCGGACAGCTTGCATGCTCCATGTGGACTGCCCAGGACTCAGATTGCCCAGACCTACTTCCAGTGGAGGGATGTTGGAGAGCCCCCAGGTCCCCCATTGGTAAGCATGATACCAGTAGCCCTACCAGACAGGAAGCTACGTTCACTGCCGCTGTGGAGTGCCTGCAATCCTCTCCTGCAGTGAATGCCACTTAGAGAGGGTGGTGGGGTATGACTCCAGACCTGGGCCTCACCCACCAAACCATGTCAGGTTCACGAGAACCGTTCTCTCCCAGGATTTTGTGTCCATAAACTGATCATGGCCATGAACAAGTTTTGCTTCCAACAACACATCCTTAGCAGATGGGAGAGTTAAACCTGGAGGTGGTCAGAAGGGACCAGGGTCCACTACCCTGGTTAGGGGCCGAGCCTGGGACCCAGTTGAGCACTGTTTGTAAGCTGCCTCTGGATTCTTCCGATCTGGATGTGCACTAAGAAAATGAGAGCGTGCTGGGTTACTTTGATGTCCATTACAGGACAGAGGAGTTGACTGGCGGATGCGTGTGCTCCACACTGCAGCTCCTGGCCAGCCCCGCCTTTTCCGACTGAAAGACCTGACTCTCAGCAGGGCCCTCGCTGACAGACGTCAGCATAGAGCGACTTTAGTAGCAGAGCTGTGGGGGCACAGCAATCCTTGGAGAAGCCCTGCCTCGGATTGAGACGTAGTCTTGAGACCAAGGCAATTGAGCCCTACTGGGTCCCCTCTCTGTAGAGCTGTGAGGTGGCTGGGTCTTGCCAGGGGATTGGAAAGCAGGTCTCCGAAGGAGGGAAGTGGAGACCCTGACCAGCCCACCCTAAGGTGCAGCCCCAGCGTGCTCCCCGAAACTCCCATGATGGGACCAGTTGCAGATGCTGATGAATCGGGTGTGCAGACACATTCTGAATAGGATGATCTAAACGTTACTAATAAAGGAGGGCTACTAAGCAGACAGGCTTTATTACAGAGGTGGGGAGGGATTTAATCAGGGTTGGTTTTTCTGTCCAGTGACAGAAACCCTTCTCAGATGGACTTACGTCAGAATTTGTACAACGGAAATCTTTGCTTTCAGGCTCTCTTGGTTCAGGAGCCTCCTTCTGCATAGCAGCCTTCTTCTGGACTCTTCGCGTCCCACATCAGGAGGGCCGCCAAGCAGTGGAAGGAGTGGGACACAGAACTCCTGGGATACAGAACTCCAGAGAACTTTGTGTCTCTGGACTGTTGAACCCTTCTGCCCCTCATGGTCTGTCCTGAGAAGGCAGAGTGTGCAAGCCTGTCTGGGTGCCCAGGGCCTGCTCTTTCTGGAATTTTCAAGTCCTCCCAGCTAGCCAGTTTTTAAGGGCATTGATTGCCATCCATTTTGCTCACCATCAGCAGTTTGACTGGCCTCAGGGGCAGGGTGTATTGCCCGGTTTTGCTGACCCATACCCCTAATGCATTTATGGATTGATTTGGCTAGCTCATTGGAATTTAGAAACCATCATTATTTCAGGGAAGCGAGTGATTGATTTCACTGTATATCTCTCTGTGGCCCAACTTCGCTGGGAACATTAGGATCGTGGCATGGAGCCCAGCCCAGGAGCCTGATACGGCCCAGCTCTGCCTGGTTAAAGATGGCCAATCTCAGTGGGCCCGTGTGCTGCAAGCCTCCACAGCCCTCGGGTGTGGTCTGGTAGGTGTCCAGAGACATTAAAAACAGGCAGATGACTAGAATCTTCTCTTGGTAATAGGATTTCAGTGCCTAGCATTTTGATCACGGACGATCATCCTAAAAACAAGCCCTCAGCATCACCCGTGGTTGCTGTTACTTGCTGTCCAGTGGTTTCTGGCCTGCGCTGCCCCGTGGGTGCAGGGTGTGACTGCTCCAGAGGCTCCAGAGGCCTTTTGGAAGCAGATGGCCAGGCCTTACTTTGAGCTACTTCTGGGCGGATTTGAACCCCCAGCCCTTTGGCTAGTACTCAAGTGCTTGGCTATTTGCTCCCAGGGACTCCTGTTATTCCACCTGTGACTCCTTTCCCATCGTCTGTGCTGCTGCTCAGAGTCTGAGAACAAGTGTGAGCATTTATACGTGTGCCAGGGCCCCTTCGGTCTGTACAACATTTCATTCGAAGTCTTTTTTGGTTGTTTTTCTGACTGTTGGCCTTCCTCCCTCCTTGTCTTGCAGAGGACAGCAGGGATAGATCCCCTCCCCATAAGGGCCCAGCCCACGGGCCTGTGCAGGCAGCTTCCCACCAGCCCCCTAGAGGGTCTGATGTGGCTGGTACTGCGGCGCTTCTCTGGTTCCGGTTTTCTCTGCAGGGGGCTCAGTGGAAGGCCATCACCCTGTGCATCCTGCAGCGTCACATTTTATTTGTACGACTCTGGTGAGTTATATCAAACCTAGGAGAGCTGGAAAGGTCAGCTACTCTGCGGCAGCTTAAGTGTGTGGATACTTCCACACCCAAATACGTGGCACTTCCCACAAACCCTTATGGTGAAGGAGAAACACAAAAATCTCAAGAAGGTTTTAAACAAAGTTCAGCGTCCACGGCTTGAGATCTTCCTCACTGAGGTTCCCGTTCATGATCAGGAAAGAGGTCAGGCCTGTACCACTGGGGCTGTTTCAGAGAGGCTATTCGTGGCCCAGCAGTTCCATTCCTCGGTATATGCCCCAGGGACTGGAAGGCAGAGTGCCAAGCACTTACTTACCTGCACCCAATGTTTATTGAAGCATTGTCCATAGTAGCCAAAAGGTTGAGACCACCTAAATGCCTATCAACAGATAGGTAGACAGACAGATGGGGTATATATGTGTGTGTGTGTGTGTGTGTGTGTGTGTGTGTGTGTGTGTACACATGTGTGTGCATTCCTTAATATCCAATCGCATGTGCATCTGTGGTCCCATATGGCTTTGTTTTTAAGGGAAAGCAGCTCTCCTTTTATTTATTATCCCCACCCTGGCTTTAAGAAACCCAGACTCACTCTTGCAGCACTAGGCCGCTGGGATACCAGAGCAGCAGAGGGCTTGCTTCTCGGTGTCTGCACTCAGGTTTTGTTGAGCAGGTAGTCATTGCACTGTGGGGCCCAGGGACACACTCAGCTCCTCCCCACTGATTGCCCCTCTCTGCTCCTCCCACCCTCTCTGTCACTGCTGCCACTCCCATGCCCTCCACCAGCAACGAGGCAGCAGCCAGAACGGCAGCTAAGGTCTTCACACAATGTCCAAATTATATAATGTACTATTTCACAGCACATATGGTGGACACTGGGTGCTACATACCTGCATACCCATCCCAGCCAGTTTCCGTGACCTTGGTTCCTGTCCATGCCACCTCATGGGTGTAATTGTAGATCTGTGCTCCACGGAGTTTTCAATGACCGATTTTGCAGAAGTACATCACCAGGTCTTCCTTCATGGACATGTCTTCAGGTAAATTTGAACTGCCAACCTTGTGGTTAATAGCTGAGTGCTTAGCTACTTCCATTTGCCAGCAGGGAGTCTATACCCACTCATGATTCTGACTCGGAGAAACCCTATATAGAGTTTCTGAGGCTTTGTAATGACAGAGGGAGACAGGCTGGCATTTTCTCGAGCTGTGCTGGCAAGTTTAAACTGCAAAGTGATGCTGAGCGTCCCAACGCCCACCTGGCAGCACCACAAGGCTCCGCAACGCCCATCTGGCAGCACCACAAGGCTCCGCGTGGGACAAAATCTGAACTCACTGCCATCGAGGTAATTCTGACTCATAGCAACTCTTTAGGACAGAGCAGAACTGCTCCTGTGGGTTTCCAAGGCTGTAAGCCTTTACAGAAGTAGAAAGCCTCATCTTTCTCCCATGGTGAAGGTCAGCCTGTAAGCCACTCCAGCCCAGGGCTCCACAGCGCTGACCCTGGAAATCCTGATGATGAATGGAATGAGTCCGTCGCCAAAGACACACACTGCATGGTGCCAGCCGTAAGAGACATCACAATGGGCAAATCCATAGGGCCTAGAGGTGGTGATTTGGTGGCTGCGGGGCTGGGTTTGAGCTGTAGGTACTGAGGGAAGAGGAGAGTCCTGGCTCTTCAACAGGAGACAGATGACCAAGACTAAAACCAGATGATTCCTGCTCTGGTCACCCGTGGGCGGCGTAAATGGCCCAGGCTCCCAGCTGCTCGCCAGCTGGATGGTGGTGCAGTCCATCCGGTGGGGCCTCCAAGGAAGGCCGCTTGATTGACTTGTGGCTAGCCAGCGATCGAATACCCTGGGGCGCACAGTGCCCCTCTGATCCCCGTAAGACAGGAGCTCACTGACGAGCAGGAGGTGGAGAGAACTCACCATGCCCCACGGCTCTCGCTGCTAGCATGACGTCACAACAGGAGCCGTGTTGGCCCAGTGTCATGAGTCGGGCTTCGAGCA